ATGTTGGGAAAGTGTGAAGGCAAGAGGAGAAGGGGACGACAGAGAATGAGATGGATGGACAGTGTCACCAAAGCTACCAACATGAATTTGCCCCAACTCCGGGAGGCTGTGGAAGACAGGAGGGCCTGGCGTGCTCTGGTCCGTGGGGTCACAAAGAGTCGGGCACGACTTAACAACCACCACCATGGCTCAACAAATGTCCAGCAGCCATTTTTGTGACCTAAGGCTGGTCATTGTCTATAAAGAGGCTGTGTGTGGAATATTTTCAGGCGGTGCTGCTATCGAGTAGGCCTCACACTCATCCGGGTGCTTTTTGCTGGGGCCCATTCTCTCCATCACCCAATCTGTAATCTGCTATCAAAGAGGCACTTTGAGATCTTGGTTCCCTTCGAAAGCAAGTCACTAGTCCTCGTGGCTCAGACAAGATGGGGAAGGGCGACGCTGTTTGAAAAGGCTCAGAAACCAGAGGACTGGGCAGCATCCGGAGTGGGCCAGGAAGAGCTTTTTTTTCCCTCAGCACCGTTTGGAAAGGGTGAAGGATGACTAAGCCACAACAAACTGTGATGGTTTCTCTGCCTCCCAAACCTCTACCAGTGGGTTGGTAGTCTTGCCTTGGCGTGTAAAGGCCGGCCACCTCTAACCTGCCTCCTGCTTTTATCTACCCCGTTTCCCTGAAAATAAGACCTAACCTGGAAATAAGCCCTAGTATGATTTTTCAGGATGCTCGTAATAAAAACCCTACCCCCAAAATAAGCCCCATTTAAGTGAAACCCTGCCCTCCACTCTTGTGCAGCAACCAGAAGGTGACAGGACTGTAAAATAAAACATCCCCTGAAAATAAGCCCTAATGCATTTTGGAGCAAAAATCAGTATAAGACCCTGTCTTATTTTCGGGGAAACAGGGTGCCAAAGAAGCATCCGACACATTTTGTAGAACTCCCAAGTAGTTCAGCCGAAAGAAGTTGTCATAAAGACAATGCCTAGCCGTGGGAGCTCCCCAGACAATCTGTGCTTCAGAAAAATGAAGTTCTCACGGCGTTCAGCGTGGCGCACTCCCAGGTAAGCGTGCAAGGGGGTTGCCGGCCACGCTTCCTTTCTACAGAGGTTCTGTTATCTCTTTCCACAGGATGTGGCCAACGTAACAGGAAACGGGTTCTGTCCCCGACTGAAATCAGGGCTGACATTTCTGCATCGTCCTCTACACATCCATCATCCCCAAGCTCCAAAAGACGAATCAGCTGTGCACGCGGAGCGAGAGCTTCTTTTGCGCATTACACCACACGTCCAGGTTTGTCACCCGAGGTGCGCGCTCAATGGCATGCAACTGGCCGGCTTCAGACCGGATGACTCTAAGCTGCCTGAAACAAACTCTCCAAGCACTTGTTTACCGCTTTCACATGCTGTGCTTTTAAAGCTGCTTATGACTTGGAAAAATGACCACCCTTTTAGAAGTACTGTACCTATTCTTGGACCGACATTGACTCTTAGAAGGACAGAATAACCGTAAGGATACGTCCAAAACTCCAGGAGACGAATGCCGCTTTTCACAGGTGGATTTGCAGACAAGACAAGCGGCTGCAATGAAAATTAAGGACACAACCGACACCACCGTTTTCCATTTCCTTTTTGTTGTTTATTTCAATTGCACCTTTGATACAAAACTACACCTGGAAATAATTTCCGTCGGTTTTCGCTTTTAATTTCTGAAACGGGAGAGGACTGCATCTTCATGAGAGTTTAATAAAAGTGTCGGAGGGGAAAGACCGTGAATAAATATTATCTGGGAAAGCAGGTGGAGAAACATCGGGGTGAGGCGTGGAGGGGGGGTGAGAGAGAAGGAGGTGTTTGCCGTGAAATTGTTTGGAAGCCAGGAACGGAAGAGCAGGCAGGCACTGTGGGGAGACAAGAACAAAGCCAGAGGCGTCGCTCGCCTCCGACGACTCCGGCGGAGTGTGAGGTGAGCAACACAAACGGGTTGACCCAGAGAGAGAGAGAGAGAGATGCAGCATTCTTTCTCGAACACACACACACACCCAGTGAAAGGAAAAAAACACTCCTGCCACGGGTCCATTTCTAAGACGGGTGGTTCTAGAGCTGTCATGCGGCACCCTCCCAAAACCAAAAACCACGCTCTTGCTCCCTGAAATGGCCAGAGAAAGCATTGTGGCATTGACCAACTGGCCGGTCTCTCTTGGAAGGGCGTGCGGGTGCCTTTGGAGGTCAGTTTCTGAGCCTCTCGAGCGGGACAAGGGGCCCAGAAACCTTCTTTTGTGAGAAGCGGTGAGGTTCTCAGCCTCCGTCACAATTCCGGCCAACTCTGCTGAAGTCAACAGTCTCCGGTCGGTTTTTTCTCTCCAGGCCACGAACGAGGAGGAGAGGAACAGAAAGGGGAGCCCGTGACGCCCACCTCCCCTGGTCTGTATCCGGATGTGGACAGCTGCTGGAGACCTCGGGGTGATGTTCCTCCCCAGCGGCCCCCTTCCCCTCCGAGTCCAGCTGTTTTTCCATAGCTGACCTCCCTCCCTCCCCCTGGCTCCAGCTGCAGTTTGCAGAACTGGGCACGGAGGGCGGGCGAGGGAGGGCCGAGCGAAGCAGAGGTGGGGATCCCGTGGGCGACGCGGCCCTCCGTGCCCTAGACCGCCCCGGGTCAAGAGAGCGAGTCCCCGCCCAAGGAGGGCAGGAGCCGCTGGGCCGCCGGCTCGGCGCCGTGAGTCCTCAGGTGGTCCTTGAGCGACTCCTTGTAGCGGAAGCTGCGCCCGCACTCGGCGCACTGGTAGGGCCGCTCCCCCGTGTGGATGCGCTGGTGCTTCAGCAGGTTCTGCTTGCGGATGAAGCGCTTGCCGCAGACGGGGCACTGGAAGGGCCGCTCGCCCGTGTGGAGGCGCTGGTGGTTCTGGAGGTGCTCCTTCCGGCTGTAGCACTTCCCGCACTCCTCGCACTTGTACGGCCGCTCGCCCCGGTGGGTCATCTGGTGGCGCACCAGCCCCGAGTGGCAGTTGAAGCTCTTCCGGCACTCGGCGCACTCGTAAGGGCGCTCCGGCCCGTGGTGGCTCCTCTGGTGGACCTTCAGGCTCTTCTTCACCCCAAACATCTTTCCGCACTCGTTGCAGCCGTGGCGCCGGTCGGCCGCCCCCTGGGAG